TCCCCACCCCTACCACAGTACCTCCCTACCCCCTACCACAGTACCCTCCTAACCACAGCTTTTCTTTAGTGTCCCTGCCAGTTTGCCACTTCCCAATAATACTTTTGGTGAGGTGGAGCCAGTGTGAGAACAATGTGTCTCTCCCAAGAACACATCACAATCACCCTGTCAGGACTCACACTTTGACCCTTTATGAGTTCAATGTGCTAACCATTAGGCAACTCTTGTCTCAAGTGTGCCAACCCTGGTAAGAAATTGAGATGTCAATTGTTTAGTACACTCACCATCGAATCTGTTTGCTTGAGTTTAGAACACTTTTCAATTGTACAAGTCCTACAAAAAGAAACATGAAAGGTTAGCTTTAAAACCTGTTATAAATAGATTGCTCTTCTTACTGTCTTTGGGGGGGATACCATGTACAATGAATGCTCATGTGTATTAGATTTTGGCAATTTGTGGTATGTCTCACTTCTGTGGTAGAATAATTATGACCATGCATATAAAGGTTGATCCGTAACAGCCTTATCATTAGTAACTTCAAAAAGAAGCTTAAATTGTACTTCTTGAACCTGAATTAAATTTTTAGCTACCAAAATTGAATATTATACTGAACCTCTGATAAGCCCGGACTATCGTTTACTACTTAGATTAATCTACTGCTGTTTGTAAATTTGTGAACATTATACTGAACTTCTAATATATACCCCGATTATTGTTTATTACCTAGATTTGATTAGATTAGATTAGATTAGAATACCTTAGATTAGTCTATTGTTCTTTGAAAAATCAGTTTTTGTCTCTGACCATAAGCCATTTAAGCCTCTGGCTTTGGCCCATCTTAGGAATTCACTTGTATAACACAAACAATAATAATAAAGATAAAGATAAAGATCAACTATTACATGAAAGTTGTTAGCCGTTTCTGCTTGTTAAAATGTGGTTGTCCATTTAATGTACCGCTCATTTCACATGTTATCAATGATCACCTGGGTCTTATAATTAACATATTTTGGCTTATAAATGATTCAACCATAAGTAAACTCTGAGATGATGTGACTACTTACCCCATAGACATGGATCATCAAGACAAGATGTATGGTTACACACTGTAACTAATGGAACCCCATCTGGTCTGTCTTTAGCACTCCTCTCCAAAATATCAAAATTGTACTTTCTGACTGAGTTAAACCATTCTACAAACAAGCAAAAAAAACTGAGGCTATCAAATTAAAAGTACCGTTATTATTCTACAAAGTTTTAAATACATGTACCTGCATCATGCACATTTTGGAAGACAGCAAAACCAAAAGAACAATTCACTTACTACATGGCTTTACACAAGATAATGAAAAAAAAAAAAAAAAAAAAAAAAAAAAAAAATAGCTGCATATTTATGCAAGACTTTCGACGGCCGAATAATCTACATAAGGGTATACCCAATACTTATTTCAAAGATCAAGCGATACCGTTCTGGCATAAATTCGAGTTTGGATTTCTATAAATCACCCTTGTCAATAAAGATGACTATTTCACATCATGAAGACCTGTTGATCTTCCTCAGATCTTAAAAATCGATGGATAAAATTAGATAATTTTCACACTAACTCAACGCCAAAGTCTTCAAAGGTGAACGGATAACTATGCTAACTCAGGGGACCTACCTAAAAATATTTTACTTGAGAGGCCAATCAAGCCGATAAGGAAGGTGCTCTGTAATCTCCAGGATAGTTTGTCCATTAGCGCCATCTGTAACGGCCATTTCAAAGCCGGTTTCATGGCCACATGAGTATAAAACGCACATGCGATAAACCATGAATTCGTTACTGCCAACGTGCAAATATCGACAAGACCTAAATAATAATTACTAAACAAACCACTGAAGATACTGCTGCGGGCTCAGGCTGTTCAATACCCGTTCCAAACAACATTTTTGGAGGGAGGGGTAAGTGGGGGAATTCACGGAGACAGTTCACGGTCGTTTATGTTCGACAATTATTTTATCAACGAAAAAATAAAAAGCGTTGCACAATCCATGCAAATGATTAGTTTTCTTTATAAAAAGCAGCTAGTAAATGCCTTACCTATTTTTCCTTTACTGTAAATTATATATCTTAATCAAATTTTGTAAAGTGAACTTGGGGAGGGATTCCCCGGTAGTTTCCACTTAATTCTTGATAGGCTGAGTAGGTACAGTGAGTCTAGGCAAGTGTCTACACCCAATGTCAAAGGCTAGTAACTAACACTTGAAAAAAAAAAAGAAGTTGAGACATCTAGCTCGCCAGGACAAGAGAAAACTGTTCACCTTGCAATCTCACATAATATATCCTACCCCAAGCTTACATGAACATTTTTTGAATTGAGGAAGAGGCCATGTTTTTGTTCTTGTTTGGGCACAATTTCCTTTTGGCTATCCTAGGAAGTCAGTAAATGCATTTATTAAACAAAGTGTCTCAACATTCTTGCAATTGGTTGTAGTTACATTCCATTAGGAGGGGGGATTTGCTTTATTTTAGCTGAATAATCCTGCATGGAAATTGGCTGTGTGATAGGGGTTTCCCCGGAGTGTCCCTTTGTCAACTGTCATTTGAGGTTGAAAGACAACACCATCAACAGCAAAGTTTCTTTCATCTCATAGCAGTCAGTTCTTCCAAGGTCAGTGACAAACAAATTAAGCACAGCTAAAAGTCAAACTAAGTAACTACCACAAAACGTCATCAAACCAAAGCATGTATCACAATTGATATTTTTAATTCCAGATGAAAATTACAATACAAGTTGAAAATAAAATTTAGACCAATTTCAAAATTTAATATGACTGGTCACTTGCCAAATAAATAGCAACGATGCAACTTCACCAAAGAGGAATTACACAAAAATGGTGCAAGAGTGTCAGTTCAGTTCCAAAGCTATGGTTGCATTGTTAGAATTGAGTCCATACTTGGTTTGTGTTCATCAGCATACCTAAGCAAGGCTAAAAACTAACAATAACCTAAATGCAATACAACAAGACTTCAAGTTTGTTGCCTACTAGAAAATACCATTAAAATTCTAGTTGTCAATTTTCAGTTGCATTGGGGACCACCTTGTTACAACTTTTGACCCTGTCACAAACCCCTCCCAGAATTTGCAACCACTTTAAAAAGTTTTCAGGACTTATAACAATTTAAATATTGCTACCCTTTACAAACTCTTATATCTAATATCAGGGCTCCAAGCTCAACTTTTTCTATAAAGCCAACTGACATCCTTACTTACCAAATGGTCTCCAGAAATAGGGTAAAGGTAACGAATCTGATCCAACCGACGCGTCGGCCGACACACTACCGACACACCACCGATGCTGTACAAACAGCCGCTGTCGAACCTGGCTTTTCAAACCTGGTTTTTCGAAGGTTCCAACATCCCGCTGAGTACGTGGCTTCATCTAATGTTCCTGTGGGCTATCAAGGCTTCTGGAAGTAACATCGCCAGACTGACTAGCCTTTCAAAGCCTACAGTGATCAGTGCGCTGAGCGACTTACGAATGGTATGTTCGACGAAAATTATGAACGCTGACATGAAGATCGGAGGTGTAGTAAAAACAGTGGAGATCGACGAGTTGAAGTTTGGAGTCAAGCGAAAGTACCAGCGAGGCAGAGTCTTTCTATAAGGTCCGGCCGACGTGTCGGCCGACGCGTCGGTTGGATCAGATACCAAATGGTCTCCAGAAATAGGAGTTTAGTTGCCAGGGAGGTTAATAAATGACAAAGGAAAATTTGTGAAATATAACATGAACTACTGGTACTATTCCAGTGACTACATTGCTTTTTTTTTTTTTTTTTTTTAAATAAGCAAGACCGCTGGAAATTTGGCAATTAATCTAGGAGGTGCACTCAAATCACTAGTATCAGCTGCAAGATTGACCACTTACACAAAACATTTTAGTATCCAAAATTGTCTTTTCTCACTATGGTCACCAAAACTGTTAATGCTTTGGGTGCTAAATACATTATTATACTAATATTCCTAGCTGAATCAAATCAAGTTTGACAAAGATGTCTCCACTATCACATTCCCCAAACAACATGCTGTGATGTCATAATTCTCCTGATGAGTTATTCCGGAATCCACAAAGGCTCTTTAACCAAGACCAGAGCAATGATAGTCCATTCAAAACTGTTTGTAGGAAGCTAACTTCTTCTCCATGGAAAAGGTTTCCTTCACTGTCCAACACCTCTTCACCCTCAACATTTTCTTTTCTGTGATCACCAAGCTGGTCTTGCATCTTTTCTATGTCCTCTCTGGAGTACATTTCCATGCCTGGCATTCCAGGCATTCCTCTGAGGAAAACAATTTAATTAAACAGTAGAGTTCATGTTTGTAGGCATAAATATGTTTTGGGCCTTATATACTCAGGGTCCTTTTTATCCTGAGCGGCTACGCAAGGGTCTAGATGACTCTGAGAAGAGTCCAAAATCTATTTATGTCCATGAACATAATTTTCATCACTATTATTATCATGTTGGAGGTCACACAAAAAATTAGAACTGGAAAAAGGGAGAAAAAAACAAGTCTGAACAATCAAGCAAGCATGTGAGGGAACTGAAATGCCAAAATCTGTATTTTAGTGTGCAAAATGTACCACAATACCTGACAAAGTGACAATGATGTAATGTAAATTTCTAAACTATCCATTCAATAACTAATTAATCGAATTAGTTGGGGTTAGAAATCTATTATTTCTTCAGTTTTTTTCTCTATAGTTAACATCTTTCTAAATGGACCAGTGAGTTTTTTTTTTAACTTCCCCGACTGCTGAAGTATCCCTGACTATAATAACATCTTAAAAATAACTTACAATTATTAATATCTCAATACCATGGTATCAAACTCTTAAAAAGTCTATACCTCATTTGTTTTAAAACTTCATCTGCTTTCTTTTCATCTTCAGTCATCACATGAAACTCTTCATCAATTTTTCTTTCTCCAGCCTTCAGCTTTAGTTTCTTTCCTTTGCATGCACTTGACATGGAATAGCAAACTTCATTGGTCAATTTTGATAAAGTTAATCTGTCTTTCCATAGCAATTCTGCCAGATCTGTGTCTATGTCCCCTATAGACTCCTCGCAAGCCTTTGAAACAGTCTGACATTCTCTTTTGCATTTTCCAACATCAAACTGCTCAGAAAGTCTTAGCTCTCCATTCTTTTCCACAAGGTCTATTTTTGAAATCCAACTTCCTTCCTCTTTCTCTGGATTGCAGGATTTCTCCACAAGGTCGATTACTTTATCTTCTTCAAGCTATCAACCAAAAAAATTAATTTGAAATATAATGAAACCAATATCATGCAGACACCTACAAAAGTTTCTCCTCAAGCCATTAGTTAAATGTGAATCACACATTAGTGTGTATTTTTTAGGGTAATCAGATACCATGACCTGGTGTTATGCTTCATTCATTAATTTAAGAATCAATTTACAGAGGGTATAGAGCACGCTGTTGAATCTATTGGATTTTTTAAAATTTTCTCTTTTGCTTTTCATCCTACCTTATCAGTCTAACAGAAACAGATTTAGTCAACTGACACTGTTTACTGATAAATATTTTATATCTCTAGTCTGAAAATTTCTTCAATAAGAAATTTCCAACTTAAGACATCTACCAAAAAAAATAGTAAATAGATACATTTTGGAATGTACTCCAGAGGAAAATTACATGCAAAAAATCCATTATTTTAAGGTTGAACTTTTTTTGGGAATTCTACAATATAAAAAAATTGTAAGCTGAACTCATAAAATACAGTGGATCCAATTGGCTGAATCTCTATCAGGTGTAGATATCATCAACAAGATAAGACAAAATAATAAAAATTAATTGTGACGTGCAGCAAACCAGACATTTCTAAAATAATTTCCAATGAACCCTTCTATCTGATAAAAAAGTCAGATGCAACTAAAATATTTTTTTTCCACAATACTATCTTTATAGACATAATATAATTTAAATCACTTTTCGACAAAAAAAGAGAGAAATAATTCATTTTAAAGATTCAATTCCTTAAAAAGAAAAAAGCAAAAATAACAAGCCCCAAGGATTAATTTGGTTCATAAATAAATTTATCATTTCTTCATATAACTGGGTCACTTCTTAATAAACTTCAAAACTATCAATAAAATACACCTGGATATGTTAAATCATTCATAAAAACATGATTTGAACCAAAACAGAAATACTAAAAAAACAGAAATGATTGTATTATTAACGGACTCAGTGACTCCCTGCTGTACTCAATGACAACAAAGTTATTTTTCATTATGTCTGTTAAAAGCAGTCTCAACTTAGAAACAAAACAAAAAACAATTTGAAATATGTTACAGTTTATGAATATTTTTTTCTCAAAATTCAAGAAAAGATTTCTTAAAGTTGTGAGTAACCAAAAATAATATTTGGAAAAAATATTTAACATACATGCCTGCTTTGGAAAGAGATAGTTTAGTTGTTCAAATGAATCTCACGTTATCCGTTGTGTTATTGTATCTAACTTTGACACCTGTACTGTATCACAATTCGATCAGGGTGTTTAAATTTTTACCCAAAAATATTATCTGATAAAAAAAAATAAAAAAATAATGAGAGTTGTTTCTGCCGACTAAAAGTATAGAAAAAACATTAACTTTGAGCTGGGTATGGAGCAATTAACAATTTGCAACATTTACTTGAATAAAAAATGCATATGAGTATCTGTCCTGTTGTAAATGAACTAGTGATGACTTAAGGTTTAAAATGTACAACGTTAATATCTGTCTACATGGTACTCATTAGCGGACAAGCAACGATTCCATGGCTGACGATTCCTCGACCTGCGAATTTTGATCATCATTTTCTTTTTCAAAAGTGCGCCGGCAATTATTAAGACAAAAAAAATCCGCGCAAATGTTAGACACTGTACCTTTCTCGATTTCGATGTTCCACCCTCAGCTGTCCGCATATCATGGGTTTTGCCATATAAATACTTAACCGCCTTTTGACATGTTTCACATTTGATGCGAGGAATATCCTCCTTAATAGCGTAGTATTTTTCTTTCTTCGGCAACTGGCTGTAAAGCGTAGAAATACATAACGATAATGTAAGAAAAATTAAGCGCCAATTTTGCGCCATCATCAACAAGTCTTTCACCGTGATAAAAGGTGAAAGTTTCTAAAGACCGTGACCGTGACTGACTGGCATAGGACTGGGACAGAAGGTTCACGTGTCAAGGATAAGCCAATCAGGATCACCAAGAGAAACGTACCCACAACGTTCTTACTATCCAAGAAGGAATTTTGTTGTTCACGGAGTTTCCATAGGGGAAGTAAAGGTTATCTCGCTTCACTCGAACGCATAACTCAAACGTAAGTTACTCAGTGATATTATAAACTTATTTATCACTAAGAAAAATTTCGAGAATGTCTAATTCGCCTCTACGAAATGCAGGATTCGAGACATTACCAAGCTTCGCAGCGTTTGATGATCCTGACTTTGAAGACGACCTTTTTGGCGGAATTCCGAGTTTCACTCAAGATATTTGGACCAACTCAAAGTACAAAGAGATGGACGACGATGACGACCTTCCCCTTACGAAGTACCTTTTGCAGTTTAATGATGACGAGCGATGGAGTTCAGAGGAAGAACTAAGTAAAGAAGAAGATAGTTTTGAATACGAAAGTGGAGGCTTCGGGTGGGATATTCATCCAATTGTTTTTGCTGATGGTGATGATTCAGGGCTTACTCAGGATACACCCGATAAACCTAAGCAGGAAAAAGAAGAAGTGGTGATGAAGAAAAGGAACTCTGTCGAGAAGTCAACCAAGGTGAAAAAATCTGATCATGAAGAAAGAATTAAATGTGGCTATGACCTCGACGAGAAAGAGGGATTAAAGAAAAATAACTCCGGTAAAAACAATGCAAAGTTTCATTCTGTTCAGAGCAGCGAAAAATCGATCAAGTCTGTGGCACAATGTAAAGAAGTTGTCAAGAAAAGCGCCAATTCGACAGCCCAGCAACAGAAATCCTTGACCACTTCTAAAACTCAGGCTGAGAAGGCAAAACAACAGCGTGAAAGGAAAAAAAAGTATGTTCAGGAACTTGAGGATACCATAGAAACTCTAAAAAGAGACAAGGCAAAGTTATAGCAGGCCAACACCCAGCTAAATGATAGAATTGAGGGTCTTCATGATGAAATTCGTTACTTAAAAGGTGTCATACAAAATCAAAGTGAATTGGCAAGAATTTTGAAGAGTGTCTCAAACACTCCTGGTATTTCGATCAGCTGTAGTGTCTTGCAGGACGGTGATGTTAGTGATGGTAAGGCAAACAAAAGAAAAGTTAATGATCATGCTGAAGATTCTAGTGAGAAAGTTTGTAATATGCAAAACAAAAGGAATAAGAAGAGAAAAATGGAAGAGAGCTCTGGTGACAAAGTCAGTTCATTTGACGTAGGGGTTTGTGTGCATGTCCAAAGTGGTAAAGTATCGCTTGAGTTCTGTGCAGAATGCAGCAAGAAGGCCAATGGTGTGATAAATTGAGGTGAAACAATTCAAGGGAATTCAATGCATATAGCGTACACGAAGTTATAAACGCTGACACAGTTTTAACCAGAAAATCATTAGAAGTACCTTTACGATTGCTGCTGAGTCATTCAAAGAGGGCTGTTTCCACTATAATTTTAACCCATTCGCTAATATGAGATAATTTGTAAGAGCATGGTAAGGTATCAGTGGTACTATCAAAGGGTCTTATATGTAGATTCTAAATCAAAGAAAACTTGCGTCAGGTAAAATCTTCTGCTCATAATAATACAACATCTTTGTGTGAAGTATAAGATGCCTTTGCTTTGATTCTGTCAGATATGAGCACTAACAAGAAGAGAAATCTCCTTCAGTTCTATTTCCTTACAGGTTTCAACAATCTCTTCAGGACTTTGATGTTGATAATAATGGGTTAGTATTTTGTTGCTGATGTTTGAAATGAAAAGCTTAGAGAATCCTTACATAGTAAAGTTTCAATTTGTTCCAACAACTTTGTGTGAATTAGTGAAAACAAAGGAGGATTATAACAATAATTTTCATAAGGGAAATGAATAGATTTTTTATGTTTAACTTTTCAGAATAAGAAATTATTTTTTCTTAGTTATTCAAGACTGCTAAATTTTTTAAAATTAATGTGTAAGTTTTGACTGTTTTACAAACTGTCATATCATACTTTCTCCTGTTTTAAAAACACAACATCTTCACTTGGTCTGGTCATCATACCATTTATATCTTCATATGACAATATAACAATTTCTTGATGTTAACTGCCTGTATCGCAATAGCAGCTACGTTTTTCTCAAAGGGATTTTTTTTAATCAACATTGCTATGGGTTGAAATCAATGTTATATTTGGCTAGAAATAAAGTTAGCTTTTTGTTGGTTATTTTTGGTTGGATTGCCGTGAGTTAAATATCTGTCTACATGATTTATATCAGTGTAATGATAAACAAAACATTACATTTCTGCTTGTGGATACAAATTTATCCACTGGTGTGGCTGATATGGCCCACTATCAATACTTGATAGGAAACTTTACTGCTACAGGCAGTCATGTAATGTTTTATACATCTTAAATCTAACTTTTTTTTAAACTTTTTTGAATAGTGCTGGATGAATGCACTGTAGTGGATACTTGCCACTCCTTGCACCCACTGGAGTCAAGTGTCTTTCTTTGGGGGTGTGAGTTTAGTGTAAGTAACGTCCCCTCAAGGTGTTGTAAGTATTTTTGTTTGAGGGACACAGGTAAAAGTTGTTTTACTCTAAAAAATAACTGCATTTATTGCTTCTTGTTGTATTTGTGCACATAGTTTTCTTTATATACTGATTTGGTATTTGTGTGGGAATGTAGACAGTTTTAAGACAACTTTTTTAGGTTCTCTGCATTGTCTTCTCAACCAGTTGTTCACTCTAGTTGATTGCAGACAGCAAAACCCTGCACAAAAGGTGGCTCTTACTAAATTTGTGTATTGTAATGAATTTTGTTATTATATTATTGCTACGGAAGTTTTGAAAAAGGAAGAAATAACAAAGGGTAGGGTTTTAAACGGTTTGGTTTGGCCATAAAATTTTGAAAAAAGTTCAACCTACACCCGTTCAAAAAAAAAAAAAAAAAAAATGGTGATACTAACTTAGTAGTATTGTTTTTTTCATTCAGCCAGAGTTACTGTTTTAGTTTTGCTCGGAAAAGTGACTGTCATGTTATACTGCATTTTTTTTTGCCCAAATAAAGGACGGAAATATATAAACTGAGGAAAATCCTAATTGAAAGAGAGAAAATGGGACTCTTAAGGTGACCTTTTGTATACATTTAATGTATTACATATGTATTGCATGATATGGTATATGTATTTGTGCTGGTCAGCCACTTTTTAAGCTGCATGAGAACAGAAATGATACTACACAGGATCAGCTATGGGCTGTTAAATTAGTGATAGTCAGAAATAAAAATTACTGGCAAGAGACTTGTTGTGGCTGGTTTTTTTTCCCATTTTGTATCTTTTTTCCTTGTACAACTTGATGGAACAACATATCAGTAGTAAGCAACAAACAGTGATAGTAAAATTCTGATAATGATAATGATCTTTGGTCTGGGTTGTTTGCATTCTTATCATGAGTGAAAAAAGACCTTGATTTCAAAGGATGCTTAAGTTATCTTGTTAGCTGAGAAGGCTCTTGCTTTTTGTTGCATTTTTTAAAGGTTTATTAAAAGAGAAGAAAGTTTTTCATGGGGAATAACCATATCTTTTAGAGTTTCAGTTTTAGGTGAGAAACAAGCTTCTTCAATTTCACTTGCATTTTAATGGCATAATTATCATCAAATATCCCCATTCTACAAATCGTTTACTTAAAACTGTTCCCAAAAACTCAGTGGTGCAATTTTAGTGGGTGTTGCTACAAATACCAGGTGCTTTGTGAACCAAAGTTTAAGTCCAAGGCTAATTTAATTTGCAATATTTTATTGAATTTTTGTGAGAAAAGATACACCTGTTACAAACAACAGTATGAAAAATATCTAATAAAAATTTCTTATTATAAGTTAGTTGTTTAAAAATTCTTCCAGTCACTCCACAATTTGGCATTCTCTTCTTTACTTGAGAGTACAGCAAGTCACCAAGATATTTAGTGTTTTCAAGTACAGGTTAATCAGTTTATGCCTCAGTGCAGTTTGAAGAGCCTGTTTGTGAGATGCATGTCATCCACATATCTGAAAGAGGAATAACAATGTTACTTCATCTAAACTGTGAGCCATTTTTCCCCTCTAATCTACCAAGGACTGTGGGGTTAGAGAGATAGCTTGGATAAAACCCCAGTTCAAATTCCAGATTGTTCATGAGCTGAATGAATTACTTTGAAGAAGTGTTCAGAGAAAGTAACATTTTGGAGTGGCTGAGCTTTTCTTTCTGCTTGGATTGGCTGGTATCCACAATATCACGTGCCAAACAGAGTGCATGAGTTGTATCATTTTGAGGCTATGTTCTGTGGAATGGCACGCTTTATTGTTTTGTTTGTTTTTTTTTTTTGTTTTTTTAATTTGAGACAGTCCAGATTCAAATAGGCCATTTTACAAATATGTACTTTGTTACCAAGCCTTTGAGTTGGAGTGAGGCTGAAGGGGATTTTGTTGTTTAATTTTGCAACCAAGCATACCTGTAAAATGGACTACAATACAATCAAGTGCAGCTTAAGAAAATTGTGAAGCTTGGACCATGCCTAAGGATTGCTGGCTCAACTGACTAACTTTGATTAGCTTCTATTAATTAGCAGCCAATAAGTTATGAACCACTAGAGCTCAGAAATTATAACCACATACACACATAGGTTAATTGACCACTCCCCATAGGGGTTTTTCAGGGCCAACACCCATCCAGGGGGGGGATATCCACCACACAGTAATCTCATGCGTGGGAAATTAACGTCTCCAACCCCTAACCCTGCAGGAGACGGGGGCCTACGGTTTATTCGTCCTTATCCGAGAAGACTAGAATATCTATCCATTTCTTGATTATAAAAAGGTAGCAAATTCTTCTCACTTATTTTAAGACCATGAGTATTGGTCCGGCTGGGGCTCGAACCCTCGAACACATGTAATTGGCCTCCACTACCTGTCCAAACGAAAGGCTATTAACAGTAAACTTAATTCGTCTGAACTTAGGACCCCCCTCCAACCTACTGAAGGGTTATAGTTCCGATCGCTCCGTCCCTGGTTGTATGCCAAAGCGATAAAATTGATCCTCTGCTCCATACGTTTAGAATGGTATATTTCGGAAAAAGAGAGAGATTGAAACAGGGCAATATGAACTAAGAGGCTTTTCAAATAGAATCTAGGCGTTTAATGGAAATCTTATGCTTGGAAGCACACCACAGCCGTTTCCGTATGTAACAGCTGTTTCGTTGAGTAGCTGCAGCTTTTGATAAAATTGGGAGTATCTTAAAAACTCAAATGCTTTTTGTGCCCAACTAATGTATTTTAAAACCTGTCCCAGCAAATTTATGGGGTAGTTTCATTCGCTATCGCAGTATCCTTGTCCTGTACGTAGCGTTAACAATGACCACCAGAGTTTTAATAGCTCAAGAACTTGACAAACACTAGAGGTAAACAAAGCCTCGTTCATTTCGTTTACTTTTACAATCAGCTAGTACTTTCTTGACTCTTGCAAACAGTACGCGATAACAATGTGCCAGATATCACCAAAAAAAGTTAAAAATTAATATTTTAGAGTAAAGTGGATGCAGTACCTACCGTGTCATAGGGCTGTTTATATGTGGAAATCGCTTTTGAATTTTTGGATGAAACCTCGGCGCAAGAGGTAAACCAGTTCCCCATCTTGGACAAAGAACTCGATCTGGGACGCCTTTAGATGGAAACATTTGTCTCAGTGTAGACCACTCTTCACACCTTGTTGCTTGAGTGGAAGGATACCATTTTTCCTCTTCAAGATGCCGTGAAAAAGTCTTCAACGAAGGATGTGTTTCGCGTTTCCAATGGTTATCGACAGCCATGTCTGGAGGTCCGCAGATGAATTTTGAGCGCTGAACAGGTGCGTTGCTTCTTAGGTCCAAAGGATCGTGTCTTTTGTTTACCCACACAACATCGTTTCTGTCTGGCTGTATTGTAATGGCATTTTTGTACCCATAAAGCAATCCACCAATTGATTCTGCGGCCATTTTTGCAATTCCTTCGTCCTGTCGGATACAAGACTTTCCTGTTACTAGGGTAACGCTCAGCTCGCACTCGGAACCGGAAATTCCATAACACTAGTTCTCAGCCTCTTACGGCCAAGGACACATTTTAGGGTTCCGTGGCGTAGACTTTTAATAAACGACCCTCATTTCTTGTTGAAAAGTGCACAGAGCAAAGATACGTGATAGTTATTCTACTAACGGGCTTTGGAAAATTAATAATTAGTTGTTTTTATGACATAATTTTATTTCTTTTATCACAATTCTCAGCGCCAAATCCTTCACTTCTTCTCCAAGCGTTTTGATCTTCCAAAAATTTTTTGATCAATTCGTGATTATTGCCTAAGGCTGCGAACCATTGGAGGAATTTTTTTTCCGGATGAAATGTTGCTGTAAAAAACGAAAAAAAAAAAAAGCTATTGAAATAGTTGGAATTTGATCAAATAATTGCCAGATAACTGAGAGCCGATTGGACGAAGACGACATATACCTTGTACGGTTGAATGACATTTCAGACCACGTGGTCGTCTCAGATGATTGACTTTTGGCTCCTCGTGTTGATTTTAGCACTTTCACAGTGGTCTGCATGTGACTTTTGCATGATAATTTGCTTATCTACATTTTCGCATCATCAAGAAGGACACCGTCATCATAAAATGTGGCCAGAGATCTTTGTCACGACAATTTTCGTGTTTGGTGTCGTTCTATCGTCCACGCATAAGAGATCAGTAACTGTAAATGAGTGGAAAGCGGGCAAAGAGTTTGAAGGTTAGATTTTAGTTTCACGCAGAGCGCGAGGAATAATTTTAAAATACAAAGTATCAGCTCACTTTAATTCGAAAACAGAAATTTGACACCACTTATCAACTCCTATCACTTCTGTGTTTTCGAATTTTGGCTTCAAGTCGAGAGAGTCGCCTTCAACAGTACTTAAATCCCATGGATTTTTTCGTTAGGAATGAACTGACCTTGCAAACTTGCATCAATATTATTCACTGTATATTTTAATATTTCAAAAAGGGAAAGGTCATCAAAGGAACGATTGATGTTAAATTTGATTTCAAAATCATCCCTAAAATGCTTCAATACTCTATCAGGAATTTCATGCTGCATTTGATAAACGTCCAAACTGGCTTAACAGCTCCCTCAACATGTTTGCATTTTAAGAGTAAAATATTCTAAGCGTGAACCACTGAGGCGAGACAATTTCTTTAGTCTTGATAAGCAATCAGGAAAATGTTAAAAACTAATCGATACGTTTTGGTAATTGATAGATTTTACTTTTTTAGTTTGTCTGATAGTATCTTATCGATGACTTCTATTTTATTTCTCTGTGCTGTGAGAAACGTTTCATACCCGTCCACTTTTCTAGCGAAATTTGTAAGGGGAATTATATTGTCAGGGGTATTAATTTAATTATCAGTAAAAACCCAATCACAGTGTCCACTGCAATTGTAACATGGTAATTTTTATTATTACGCCCTACGAGAACAATTAGACTGAACAATGTAGTGCTAGAATTCTGCTCTCAAGCAACATGCCCGATTAAAGAAAGAGCGCAGGAAAAATAATTTATTCACGTTTAGTGCTAATGCCTAAGTTAAGTTGCAGATTACATCTCCTAAGTAGTTAACATCATTGACATCTCTTCAGTACCGGATAAATGAGTTTCGGTCATTTTTCACGTTTCGCAGCCTTCGCACACTTACCATGGAAATGTTGTCGAAAGAGATATTTGACATATGTGCTTTGTATTAACCCGAAAGAAAATGAGAAGGAAACATCCTTGGCTGAAGGGCAATAATATCGTTCATGACCTATTCATCAGGAATCAGGAAAAAGTGACAGCGACCGGGAACCAACGAACCGTTTTCTTCTTTGCAAACAGTAAAATATTTTACAAATTCTTCAATAGCATTCGGATTTGCGCGAAATTTCCCTGACTAATGTGTTTAAATTATCTCTCTGTTAAGTGACCGTGATTTTTTTTACTTAACCATTAAAAAAAATCTATGACATGCTAAGGCTAAGAGCGTCCATGTCCATTTACTGCGGTAGTGTGCCTCATCCGGTATAGGGAGAATAGAAAGGTATGCGGTAGAAACCATATGATTTTATTCCCGCAGTTTGTGATATTCAGAATGTTACCGAACGGTTGGAAAATTGTTGGTTTTTTTTTTAATTTTTACTTAGTTCGACTGTCACGTGGTTTTGCTTCTTACGCTGGTCAAGTGGTCGTTTTCCATCAAGGGGTCTGGAGCACAGTTTGCGATGACACCTGGGATGAGAACGATGCTTTTGTTGTATGCCGGGAGTTGGGTTATCCTAACGTTACCTTGGTAACAAGAGGATCTTTCTTTGGTCCAGCGGGCACAATAAATATTGAAAAGGTGCGTTGCAATGGCAACGAGACAAGACTTGGTCAATGTTCCTACAGGACCTCAATGTCAGTGTCAAACTGTAAAACTGGATGGAGGAGAGAAGCAGGAGTAATATGCGAACCCGTTAAGAATACGGATCCCAGAGGTAGTATGATGTTTGATTATAGAGAATAAAACTTTAACCCGTTAGGAAAAACCGAATTTTCATTTAATGGCTTATGACCTTTTAAAAGTAATGGCAAAGGTTTATCAGAACATTGAAATTAAAGCGGGGAGCTCGAGCCGATGACAACTGATAGGGGAAAAAAAAAGAGGGCTGCCCCGTTATCATGATTTAAAGGAGAAATCAAGAATCCTTATCGTGATCGGTTTTAATTTTGTATCTGCAAATAATTGAGTGGGTGGCTTGAAATTTCTTGACCATTCGCACAGTGAAGTAAATTAAAAAAAGGGATGCAAACTCAAATACTTTTAAGCTCAATGAAAAATTGGTTTTCACATACCGTCTGAAGTTCCTATTGACGTTTATTGTAGAAGGTACGATAGATTCATTTCTGATTACATGATCCAAACAGGGAATCTGTTACGTCAATTTTTCTTGTCAGATATCCCTAGAGTCCGCTTGTCAAATTCTACCAACTCAGAGGGCTCAGGTCTGGTGGAAGTGTATATTCACGGTCAATGGGGGAGAGTGTGTGATTACTCTTGGCATTACGAGGATGCTTCGGTACTCTGCCGTCAGCTTGGGTATCCTGGTGCGGAACGGTCCACCTGCTGTGGCATGTACTTCGGGAAGGGTACAGGACCTCCGCTTATGGCTCGTGTGAAGTGTAAAGGAACGGAATCATCGATATTTCATTGCAGTCACGTGGGGAAGGACGATGCAAGGTGTTCTAGACGTTCCAGTGCTGGAGTTGTATGCAAACTGAATAAACCAAATGGTCAGTAGCTGTCATTTGATTACTAAGGAAACAAAATAAGACGACAGAGAGGGATATAGAAGGTGTTTGTTTATTAACCTTTTCCACCCAAGATTTCCTCCGCTGTCTGGTATCAAGAGAGGACGAAGCCTTATGCTCTTATACTGTTAGAAATTTCTTGAACACACCTGGGAGTGAAAGGTTATGTCTTGTGAGCCCAATGTTCAGTAGCTTCTGAAGCTCATTCCGGTTCTAAATTGTACCATGATAAAAGAAAGAATAATGGGACAGAAAATACTCTAGTCCTACAAAACCATAGTCTGCTCGGGGTGCATAGCTGGTTAGGCCAAGGGAGGGGGGAAGGGGTCCTTCTTGCGTCGATTAACTCTCCTTTAAAGCTTGCTGTGTGTTCGTTTCTGTTTACTATTATATATGGGTTTCATCTAAAGCCTTTAGTTGTACTCCTCAGCTAAGGTTCCCATAGAATCACGTCGATTTTCCTTTTAACATATTTTCAGTTCGCCTGGTTGGTTCTCATCTTGCACATGCGGGTTTCGCACAAGTTCGTCACTATGGTCGTTGGGGATCTTTCTGTGATTGGGACTGGGGACTAGAACAAGGTCATGTTATTTGCCGTGAATTGGGTTATCGAAGAGCTCTCTTTACAACCCTTGGAGACGTGTTTGAAAGACAGTCGGGTCCAATCTGGATAGAGGAGGCACGGTGCCATGGAAATGAATCCTCCATTTTCAAATGCGATTTAACGTACATCCGGGATATGGACGAAGTGTTTAGCTGTGATCATAGTCACGCTGGAGGTGTCATCTGCGAGTCCGACAAAGAACCAGGATTAAACGGTATGTTAGCTTAAATACAGTGAAAAGTATAAACACGTGGCTTTTTGGTTATTGGATGATTCGCCCAGGTGCAGGTTCTCCCCTCCCTTAAACGAGCTCGACTCCAGCACGACAAGCTCACCTCGAAGTGAAAAACTTAGATGAACTCTCTGTCTCTCTCCCTCTTTTTCTTCCCTTTTTTTCAACAGGAACAACGGCAGTCAGATTACAAGGCGGCAATTTTACTTACATGGGAAGGGTGGAGATTAAGCGGCATGGCTTCTGGCACTCTGTATGCAGCATTGCCTGGGATAAACGTGACGCTGATGTTGTTTGTCGTCAGTTGGGATTCTCAGTGGCTGTGGTGGAACTTGCGCATGGTCAGTTTGGTTCCAGTCCTGGACCCATGTGGTTGACTAGTGTGAATTGCCATGGAAACGAGACCTCGTTAGACCAATGTGTGAGCGCTGGATGGGAGCTTGACAAAGATTGCGGAGAGAGACATGGCGCGGGGGTGATATGTAAAACGGACAAAGTTACAGGAGGTAGATAAAATGACCCTATGTAAATATCAGAAATATCCCGAGCCTCGTAACTTCTGGTTTTCATTAGTATAGCCGCGCATAAAAGGATTTGTGGAACCTACATACGGTTCTTACTGGAGATCTTTCGATGCGTAAGAAAATAAGAAAATGGCGCAGCTTGAACTTGAACACAGCAAAAAATATAAACTACATAACTGGTTAAACGCGAAGGGGAAAAATGCGCTTAACGAAACTTATCTAAGTGTATAGGAGTCCCAAGTTGCCTTGCACAAAGTACTTAGTGCATAACACGGAAACAGAACAAAAAAAAGGAATTGACAAGTGAAAGAATATTCAACGTGCACCCTGCAGTAGCTACTACCAATGCAAGTACAAGCTTAAGCACAAACGCAAAGATAACAGCTCTTGTTTCGCCGTAAATACGGCCTCGACGCTAGCACAAGCGCAAGGATCAGAATATTTCCTTTGTCTTGTGCTTGTGCTTGCGTCGAGGCAGCGGTTTTACGGTGAAATAGGAGATATTATGCTTACCTTTGTACTTGCTTCGCCAGTGAAAAGCAGGCTTAATAGCATTTTGGTCAAAGTTTCAATAGAAGTGATAATCACGTAATGAACCGCCTCCCGGTTAGCTCAATTGGTTAGAGCGCCGGATTGTGTTGTGCGGGAGGTCGAGGGTTCGAGCCCCGGCCGGACCAATACTCATGGTTTTGAAATAACTGAGGAGAATTTGCTACCTTTCTATAACAATGAAATGGTTAGATATTCTAGTCTTCTCGGATAAGGACGAATAAAATGGAGGTTCCGTGTCCTGCAGGATAAGGGGTAGCCGGAGACGTTAATTTCCCACACACGAGATTACTGTGTGATGGATGTCCTCCCCTGGGGTGGGATGTGTGGGGGGAAAGGTGAGGTCGTTACATGGACTAAAGCGGCTGCCAGAGGCGCCTGATAATGCTGACGTCCGATCTCAACCTTAGCAACACTGTAGACCTTAGCAATTCAGTCTATGCTGGTATTAAGGTATCGAATCATTCACTTTCCAAGTGAAATATTGTGATCTTCTCATTACAGACGGTGAAATAAGACTTCGCGGATCAAGTGAAGTAAACGAGGGTCGAGTGGAGATTAAATTGGGAGGAGTCTGGGGCACGGTATCAGACTTAGAATGGGATCTTCGCGAAGGTCACGTGGTATGTCGTCAGCTGGGATACCATCAGGCTGTGCGCGTGTACTCGCATTCAAGGTGATTTATGCGTAACTTTTTTTTACAGCGGGAAACAAGATCGCATTTACGATGTAACATGTTTTTAATTACGTGTTTTCCCACAGGTATGGCTCTGTGGATATGAAAATTTGGCTCAGCAACCTAAACTGTACTGGAGAAGAGAATAACCTCTTAGACTGCCATCGAGAGTTGAATTTCAGGCTCTACACACCAGGCGATAATGCAGGGGTACAATGCACTAATGACACTAATTATAAAAGTGGTGAGTAGTTAACTAACCTGAAATTTGTAAAATTGTAATAACTCTCACAGTTGCACTGTGGACGCGCTTAACTGCCCCTCCCCTCCTTTCCTCACCAAAAAATTTCTTCCTGATAAATCTTTGAGGTTCGCGACCGAAAGGTTCGACACAAAAAAGGCAGAGTGTGATTCGGACTGAAAATGAGGTAAAGCCTTAAAAGTGAAGGTGTCTTTTCCTCAACGCTCTGAATTAGCGTGATAATTACATTAATGTGATTTCACTTAGGGTTAGGCCTGGAGTCTTTTCAGATGACTTGTTTCAATCAAGACTTTTTGGAAATAAAGCTGCAATAACATTATCTGGATCATTCTTAAGTGGGAAGGTAAACCCTTAAGGGAAGAGCCTGATCTAGTTAACCGACTGAATTCATTGGCGGATGCATTTTTTTCTTATGTAATAAGTGGGTTAATTATTTAAAGAATCTGTGGTACTATGTCGTTGAGGGGTAATACAAGATAATTTGGTTTCATCAACTGAGTTGATAATTTAAACTAGCCATCGTAGAGCTGACGTTTTGAGCGTAGCGAACGTCTACCAAATGCCATTTTTAAATCACAACGGATTTTAGGAACCCGAGAAGGATCTATAAGACCAGAAATGGCTAATCTCTAAACTTCGAATTTTCTATTCTCCGCGCAAGCACTCGGGCTTCTTGCGAGGTTAATGCACCGCTATTTAAATAAAACATGGCTCGTAAAGGTCTTTTTCAGATCAAGGCGTATTTGAGGGAATCTTAATCTCAATCTGACTCTCCGCTTGATTTTCTTTCGCCCGAGATTGTTTGAGTAGAGCAATTTCAACTAAAGGATTTTAAATTCAACTGGTGTTTTAACAGATGTCGAGGTTCGCTTGTTTGGTGCGGACACGCCCAACCATGGTCACGTGCAAGTTAAATTTAACGGCACCTGGGGCACCATCTGCGCCGTGCATGATCTACCATACCGGTCAGCGGAAGTGATATGTCGTCAGCTGGGTTTGGGACATGCGCTAAAACATACATTTATGAATGGCGAATGCAGTGCAGTGAGTGAAGGCGCCGATACTGTTTGGCTGTCTAGCTTGAACTGTCAAGGATTTGAAGATTCTATTGACCAATGTCCTCACAGGGGATGGGGCAAACTTGACCCTGAATACTGTTTGTATTGTACACCGCAGCATTGCAGTGCCTGTTTAATATGTCAGCCACTGAACCCTAATATAACAGGTAAAGTGGAACAGTCTTCTTGGCGTTGTTGTTGCTTTTTCATTCCCCTCTGCAGAAGCATAGCTGGGTCATCGACCGCTTATCACTTCACTGGGTGTGTCACCCCCCCCCCCCCTCCGTTCGCATTTCAAAATAGCACACAATTACATTGTTCCATTATCGATCGCACGCTCAGTTTTGAAAAAATTCTTAGTTTGGAACGGAGAGAAAGTAATGAGGTGCAATTAACAACTGGATACAAAAGATATTACATGTGTGCACATTAAAAAAATAACTTTTCACTCTCAAGACAAGGAATATTCAGAATGCTTTTATTGCTCCATATTTTCACTGGTAAAAGAAATCAGATGCACTTGAATATCACATTGTAATCTCCAGACATATCACTGCGCATGGCCGGTTCCAATCTTCTCTACGCGGGTCGTGTTGAGGTCCAATACGCTGGAGTCTGGGGAGTGATATGTCCACGCTTTATGAGTGGCACTGTGTTTAAAGTAATTTGCCGCCAAATGGGATTTGAAGGCATAATGGGTGACGTCACATTGTACGGGAGACGAAGGCAGACACCACTTTATGGAAAAGGAAAAGGACCAGTCTGGCTTAGCAAAGTACGCTGCCATGGCAACGAAAGCAAACTGTCGGAATGCGTGATTGTCAGCCCAGGAGAAATTCTTTGGTGCGGACACACAGAGGCACTGGAACTTATGTGTCGACCTAAAAAGTATACAGCACGTAAGTTGATTAGTAAGCACAAGTAAGTAATTAAAGAGAAGCATAAATAGCAAGGACAGTTTACGGTGATTCCTCAGAGAAAAGTTATCCAACATGGGCCAATGTTACCCCAGTTATGCCTGTACTGGCGCTAAATCAGGCGTGTTATTCCATCAGTTCATGGTACAATTTAAAAAAACTTGATAGGTAGAAAGTATCGAGCGCATGGAACAATTTGATATATAATTTGCGGAAAAATCACGCAATTTTAAACGACATCGACTTAAAACATTCCTTTACTCGTTGCTTTCAAGGTCATTATTTGCATGATCGAGTAACGGGCTTCGTGCACACAGTTAATTACAGTATATCCTTTTTTTTCCCTTTTGATTACTTTTTTTTATCTTATTTCTTCAATATAACGGGGATACTTTTTACACAAAAATGATGCAATAAAAAATATAGATCACCGTGCTCGTCAACCTCGTTCCCAGGGCCTTTTCCCTTAGCTGGGGTGGAGCCTTTTCCCGCCCCACCTCCAACTAAGGGAAAAGGCCCTGGGAACGAGGTTGCGTGCTCGTTCATGAGCTAACGACCATCATACCTCTTTATCTGGTCCATTGATTTAAAAAGAACAATATCGTGTTCTTGGAATGCGCGCGCTTATTTACCTGATTGCGTGATTTTTATGTGCAGCACAGGATGCGCAATGCAACACTGAGGAATCACCTTAAGAATACAATCTCACTCAATTCTCTTTAAATGGACACCTATATAATACGCCGACCCTGCTGTAAGATAGACACCTTTATAGGACACACTTCAGTGAGACAGACACTAAAGCGAGAAGGACACTTCACTTAGATAGACTCCTGCTGATAAAACAGACACTTAGGTTAGATGAACGCCCCTGTAAGATAGACACCTCATCAACACAGACGTATTGGTGGAACAGAAACCCCAGTGATGCAGACGCTGTAATACGACACACACCTCAGGATAACAGAGACTGACCCTCAGTCCGAGACATGAGGTCGATCCGGTTAATCCCGTCCTAGAAATACTTGGTTCACAGTAATAAGCACGTTTGATTTAAATACACAGCTTTTGCATTAACCCACAGCCTTGAAATCTGTGCAATAATAATAATAATAATAATATATCTTGAGCAAAGGCTGATAGTTTCGAAAGAAACTGTTTGGGGTTGCGTCGGTGGGAGTAACGAAATAATTTGGATTAATCAACAAAGTTGAAATGGTAAATTGGCCACCGAGACCCCTTCTCGTTACGGTGGCCAATTTACCATTTCAACTTTGTTGATATATCCATAATAATATATCTTGATTAATTAGCTTATCAGGTCCGCTTGGCTGGATCTTCTGTGCCGCATGCTGGGATGGTTGAAGTCTTATACAATGGCACATGGGGTACAGTTTGTGCCAATGTGCGTCAGTGGGATGTATCCACACCAAACGCATTAGTCGTCTGCAGACAGCTTGGATTTGGACCACCTATCAGGTCAGTAGACATTTAGAAATGGATACAAAAAAATTGAATAAAAAAAAAAACTGCATGGCTTAGTGGAGAGCGAGTTGACTCTCAAACCAGACATCCAAGGTTCGATTTCTAGCGTCTTGCTGATTGGTAGACAATCAGCAGTTTCTCCTTTTCGGCGAAGTCCGTCGCACGCGTAAAAAAACTCAATCAAAAAAGAAAAAAACGATTGATGTAGGCGCGCTGCGTGGAACTATAAGAGGTGAGGCTATCCTGCGCTTCAGTCCCAGGGCTCCAGGCAGGGCGCTTACATCAATTGTTTTTTATTTGTTGTTGTTGTTTTTTGTCGTGCGACGGACTTCTCCGAAACAGAGGGACTGCTCGTTGTCTAGTTAGTTGGGGACTTAAATAATTTTACTTTTGACTTGTGCTATTTTTTGTAAGATACTTGAGTGTTTTTAATCAGTGGACCCCATTAAAGGCTAGTGGCTCACTGCTATTTGTGTCACCCTTATGAATTTTGTTAAAAAGAGGGAAGATAGCTTGTTAAGAATCATGTATGTAAATGATTTTTACAAGGTAGCAGAAATTTAAAGTAAATGAATACTGAGAAAATTCATAACTTGACGGGAATTGAAACTGTCTCCGTGATACCGGTAGGACGTCACTTCCAACGAATCCACTCCTACTACAGGAACGATCTAAATTCCATATTTTTTATCAGGGCTGTTACCTGTTTCAAAACGGTAAAACTAAAGTACCTCATTGGAAATAAGCTGGGATCATCGCTACTCTCGAGTGACAAAAAATTCTTTATTTCTTTGGCACAGATCAGCCAGTAGCTGGCTAGCTCCGGTTTTTTCCAACTGTGCATCACGTGACCATGCCACTGGGCCTATCTGGCTGTCAAACGTCCAGTGCCGAGGAAATGAAAGCTCTTTGGACCAGTGCCCAAGTCTAGGTTGGGGAAAGACGGAGGGGCATTGTAGTCACAGTTCTGACACTTGCCTGGTGTGTCATAATTCACGGTATCATAACTCCGGTGAGGCAATCTTCTAATTTTTTAATCAGGCGAATTTACTTCGTGTTCCACAGATGTAAGACTTGCATCTTGGTCGTAGCTGGCAGCGCCTGTGTTTTTGTTTACTCAACATCAACATCAACGACATCAGCAGACATTTCATGATATTCACAGATTTCAGAGGAAGAGCTTGAGAGATTTTGTATTTTCAACAGGAACAAACCGTGACTCACTTAAAGCTCTTTTACGAATGCATCTTCCTTTTGACGGCAGTTATGGCCGGAAACAAGTCTTTTTGTTTATGTTCATTTGTTTGTTTTTTCAGAAATTGCTTTGGAGCTTACTGGTTCCCAAGTTCCTTACGCCGGTCGCGTCAAAGTACGCTACCAAGGGGTGTGGGGTACGTTTTGTGCCGACGAATGGCAACATGAAATTACTGAAGTGATTTGTCGGCAGCTCGGCTTTGACGGCGTTGAACTGGACATTACTTTGAACAACCTAGACGAGTATAGCCCGCCTAAAGTATATGACGTGGGTCCAGGCCCAGTTTGGTTTCGCAGCTCTGGATGCAAAGGCCATGAAAAACATTTGTCTGAGTGTGATCTCACTGAGGACAGATATTGCATAGAAGATAACGTGGAGCTTATTTGCAAAATGGAAAATGTTTCTGTTAATGGTAAGCGGTTTCGATTTGTCAGGATGTGTTGTGATATCAAAGAAAGGTCGACGAGTGAGCAACAGTCACCTTGGGAAAAAGTTGTTGAAACCGTTGTTTATATTTATGGGTCGAGAACCACTTTGAGAGTAAATCGTCTTGTTCCAGAACGAAACACGATGATCAGCCTGGATTCAGTGCTGCGTTCAGCACACAAACCAAGATCCCACGTATTTCGAATTTTCACCGCAAAATAACTAAATTCAAACTAGTTGGTTGCGAATTTCATCTACATTATGAACGGTGTGCTCTTCAAGAAAATCAAATGTTTGTTTGCAGCCCTCCACTGATGAATCTTCCCACTCTTGGAATGTCCTTTTCAGTTTACTCTCATTTGTTTTATCAGGAAATTCAGATTTATTCAGTAGAACATTTAGTAACATCTATTTGTTTCCAGAATTCGCTGTCAGACTCCAAGGAGGAAGCCATTCAAACGAGGGCCGTGTGGAGGTTTTCTATGGTGGCCTTTGGGGCACTATTACGACCGCCAAGTGGGACCTTAAAGATGCTATGGTTCTCTGCCGTCAACTTGGTTTCCCGAAAGCTCAAGTCTCTTCATATAAACAAGCAGACCTATTCAAGCAAGTGTTTTGGTTCAGTAATTTTGAATGTGACGGAAGCGAGGCCACGTTAGGGCAGTGTAAGCACACTCGGTTAGGAAAGGCCTTCTACAATGACCACGAACCATTGGAAGTCTTTGTGCGCTGCGCGACAGGCATGGAGAATAACACTTCCAGGTTCTCCCCTACACCATCTGCGTCGAGTGCCAAAACTTATACCTCTCAAGGTCCCTTCTCTACCTTGGCCCCATCCACCCCAAGCCCTCCGGCTAATTGTCCTAGAAATAGGTGCCAAAATGGCGGCTCTTGTAAGCTGGCGGAGAAGACATGGAAATGTAGCTGTTTGGAAATGTTTTCTGGAGACTACTGCGAAGTTAACGTTGGTAAGTTTTTAAATAATTTTTTTTTTCAGATCCGTAATGAGACTTGCCAATTGTTACCTAGACCAGAATTCCAACAGAACTCCCGTGGCCAGTCATGCGAGAAGAATCTTAGTAAAAGTGTGAACGCAATAATTTGATCATTGTTTTATAAGGTTCTAGAAGACACACTCGTGTAAGCGACACCCGTTAAATGAATGATCATTGTAACCGCTCAACAAAACACCACTAGCTAACATCTCTCAAATTTATGTGTTCTTTAGTTTACAACGTAATCTAAATATCGATTCATTAATAAAGATGATTTATCTGGTATACTAACGCGCGATCATGTAATATTGCCATATTGAATATCTTAATTTATATTTTAGGAAGTAATGCGGTCTCGATGATCTTAAAAATGACTTTAAATCAAGTAAGTGGCATGTTTAAATACTTTCGTCAATCCATTTTTATCTTCCATGTAATCGCGTTGAAAACAAATGAAATTCACTGTATCTTTCTCTTTCTTTTCATCATTTTTTCCTAGTGGAAACCTCTAGACTTTAAAAAGACTGTGGCTGACCTTTTAACAAACCACTGCAAGTTGAACTCGTGTCTGGATAAGGGGCAGTAAGTATGATAATACATAATCAAAAAAATGCGAGGATAAAATCATGCAATGAGATACAGTCGTTTTCTTTGTTTCAATTTCATCCTCCAGGGCTACTCACGTTAAGTCGAAGAGTACGCACCAATGCGGGAATGATGCTGCCTTAACTTAGACTATGTAACCAGTTATTTTCAGGGAGGCAGAGAAACTGTGTGTATAGAAAACTGAGGTTTAAATATATAAATGAATGCTTTGCTCATTTCAAAGTTACAGCTTTCTTTTATGGTGGCTTCCATGGCCGTCTGACACGAAACGAGTTTAACGTGCTAAGAAAACGAAAATGAGTGTAGTAAGAAATTATTGAAACCTTTTTTCGATGAAAGATTTCGTAATAAATATCAAGATTTAAAAAAATTCCACGGCTAACCTTTTTTGGTCGCCTGAATTTCTTTGCGAAGTTTTTATGTCTGTTATTTTCTAATCTTTAAAAGCAGACTAACAGATCTTCACCACTTCACTTCCTGGCTTGCTTTGAATGGCCGTTAGTCACTGAGCTATTTCGTTTGAACCATTTTCTCCAATTTTTCAGGAAAAAAAGAACAAAACGCCAAACAACTTCGCCCAGATTTCAACCAGATAACGTCATCATTCTCCCAGGCTACCCCAAAGAGGTGCAGGGTACAAATCTCTTGAATGTGAGGCTAGCCGTTAAGATGCCTGGGGATAATAGCAATACTGTAATTTCGCGTGAAGCATTGAGTCACTTGCTGGTGAAAGTGGCATCGGGATTTCATAAGCGCCTGGGTCATCACGTCGTATATATCGATAAGAAAGAAGTTCACTCAGCTTCGATTACTTCAGTCCAACCGCTGACTGCTCCTGCGGTTGACCGCGAGTCGAGTGGACTTGAGTCTGCGAAGTCACACAGCTCCGCGTTGATGGCGCTTGGTGTTGCCCTTGGAATTGTGAGTCTTATCGCAATCATTATCATCATCTTGTACTATCGGAAGGTGAAACGGTGAGTAAAGCAGCAGTGAAGGAAATTTATTTAGCGAGAAATGCTAGGAGAAGGAAAAGGGGACCATAGAGGGGTGGCAAGTAGGTCTAAGAGGGGCAAGGAAACTATGCAACTTGTTAGTGATTCCTCGCTCCAAGTTGAAATCTTATGGCTATCGCGCCATTTCTGTCTCTGCACCTAAGCTGTGGAATGACATTCCCGAAACCATAAAATGTAGTAAAGATCTTAAAACTTTTATGCGTAATCTTAAAACTTATCTTTTTAAGCGTTATTTTAATGAATGATTATGTTTGATTATTATTTTACTTTTTAGCTCGATTATGAAGCGCCTTAGAACTTTTTGATATGGCGCTGTATAAATTGTCATTTATTAGTATTTATAAATCAGGTCTTTCTATTATTATTATGTTGGGCTGCAAGATGAGACGCTGAACGGCAGTGGGCAGTTCCCGGACAGGGCTGGTAGAAGTT